GAGGAGCTTGCTTGATTCTGTAGAGTGACTTCTGGAGGAGGCACACGGCGCCGTCATTTTCTTCGAATGTGTGCGGCTGCTCGACGAAGATGATGGCATCGACGGGAGCGTACAGGAAGGCGCTTCCGACGTCGATTTGCTGAAGCGGTCGCTGTTTGACGGCGGCGATGCAGATGAGGATGCGCACCGAGGTGTGGCGGCCGACTGGAGCGTAGGTGAGAGTAAAGTCCATCAGGTGAGTTTGCTCAAATCCGGGCACCACCCAGCGCGCCTTGTATTTGTCGATCGAGCCATCGGCCAGAGTTTTGATGCGAAAAACCCGTTTGCCGTTGAGAATTTTTCTCCCCTTTGCCGATGACCGTGGGACCAGCTTCCAGGTACCGTGCCTTTTCAGCGACGCGATTTCGGTGTCACTGTCGGGACCAGACAGGGCTTGGCGGGCGGTGGTTGGTTCCTTGGGCAAGGTGTGGCGAACAGCGACGGCGAGGCCAAGAACGTGAAGACCACTTTCGTCACTGTCGGGACCAGACAGGGCTTGGCGGGCGGTGGTTGTTTCCTTGGGCAAGGTGTGGCGAACAGCGACGGCGAGGCCAAGAACACGAAGACCAGTTTCGTCGGTCTTTTCGTAGTGAAGGCGATCGTAGTCGTGGAAGCTGGTAACTTCGACCACGTCGTCATCACTGTCGTTGCCGAGGCGGAGGGTGTCCTGCGACGTGTTGGGTTGTGGTAACTCGGCATCGGGTGATCGGCGCGCTTCGGTGTTGTAGTCATGAGCCTCGCGTGTTATATCGTCCGGATCAAGTTGGTGTACAGGTACGAATATCGCAGTTCCGAATTGGCTTGTGAGGGGGATGTTCGGAGCAGAGTCCATTGGAGTGAGATCAGGTGCGTCTGCATCCTCGGCCAGGTCAGCTTCGTCGTGTGACGTGGCGAAGCTGCGGTGGCCCTCGAAGAGCCTCTCGGGCAGGGTGTCGGCTTCCTGGTGCTCCTTGAAAAGGGGCAGAGTCAGCTTCTCGTAGAAGATGCAGTCACGTGATTTTGTCACCTCGTGTGTCGCGTAGTCCAGCACGATCCACGCCTTGAATTCTTTTTCAATCCCGAAGTGGATGCCCCATCGTGCTCGGTCAGCAAATTTTCCCGTCCTTGCAGTGTGGGGTCTGTACTGTACCATGCAGCCGAACACCCGAAGCAGACGTGTATCTGCTTTTCTGCCCGTCCATGCCCGGTAAGGAGAATTGTTGTCCTTGAGGCTTCGTGAAGACAGCAAGTTGTGCAGCCGAACAGCGTGGTTCATCGCAAACGGCCAATATTTGGTTGGGATGGCCGACTGCTTCATCAGGGCCCTCATCCGCGTGGCGAGGCTCCTGTTTGTCCGTTCTGCTACGCCTTGCTGTTGGTGAGCGTAGGGCAGGGACACCAGGTGCTCAATCCCCTTCTGCTTGAAGAGCTCCTTGAACTCGTCTGAGAAGAACTCCAGGGCTCCGTACATCTGCCAGGCTTTGAGATTTAGCCCAGACTGTCGCTCAGCCCGCTTCATCCACGCAATGAAGCACTCGAAGGCCAGTGACCTACAGACGGTGTTGATGGCCCAAACGTAGCGCGTAGAAGAGGTAAGAGTGTACTGCTCCACGTCGAGCGCTTCCTGACTGAGCACCGTAAAGTCGCTGTAGACTTTATCCAGCGGCTTGTAGCGTTCGTACCCCGGAGGTAAGTCAGGGAATGGCTGGTGGTTGAGCGATGCAGTTGGGCAGACGATGCACGGCGGATTGGGAGAGTCCGCGGTGAGGGAACCGTCTCGGGGGAGGAGAAGCGCGTCGTCGTCGAAGACTCCGGTCTTGAGAGAATTTTTTAGCGTGGAGTGAGAGGGATGTCCGAGCCGGTGGTGCCATGTTGCTGGGTCCGCACGGTAACCGACTGTCTTCTGATAATATTTTTGCCGTGCTGCTTCGTCGTTTGCCTCCCCTTCAGGTCCTGTGTCAGCGGCGTTGTCCGTGTCAGCGGCGAGCGCGCGAATTGCTTTTGTCTCCAGAAGCGCGCGGGGAATACCGATGATGTCGTCGGTATCGCCAGCTTCGACTTGGTCTCCGGTGACAAGCAGGCACCTGTCGGGCCAATCCCGAGCTGGGAGTCCCGTCATGGGGATCCTGAAGTAGCTGTATTCAGCGCCGATGACTTCAATTTCCTGTGGTCCTTGCACTGGCGGCTCCGGCTTCTCGGTAGGTTCAGGTAACTCTGCTGGTTCTCCCATGAATTCGTAGGTCTCCTCTTCTTCTGACTCTTCTGGCATTGGTTCGGGTGTGTCAGGGGCGTACTGATCTGGAAGAGGAGGACCTCCCCAGCAGGTGCCGCGAGTTGCCCAGTATGGGTCGACGACGGCGACTTCCGCGGGGGGGAAGCCGGCTGCTTCGGCGTGTCCTTGTTCTGCTTCGCCCGAGGTGCCCCAACCTCCTCCGGCACCCCACGTGTCTCCGGTCATCTCTGCTTCTCCGACTGCTGCTCCTGTTGCTTCTCCGACGCCTGCGCCAGCTTCCTCAGCTGGGGCAGAGGGAGTGCCCCAGCCAGTCGCAGCAACTTCTTCCGTTGCGACGGTGCCCCACCCGCTTGCGGCCGCTTCTTCTGGAGTCAAGACTTCTCCCCAGAATCCGAGCGCGGGCCCGGAAGTGTCCCAGCCCGTCAAGCGTGTTTCCGCTTTCTTGTTTTCCTCAGTTGGTTGTGTTGCAGGTCCTGACGTGCCACTGTCTTCTTCCATTGTGGCAGGTCCGGTTTCTGCGGGATTGGAGGTCGAGGCTGTCGGGACGGTGCGCAAGCGCAGAAGGCCGTCAGAGGCGGGTCGCTCGAGATCCATCTCGTCGGGATGTGACCATGTTGGCGCCTCCGTGGGAGTTGTCTTCAGAAGCAGTGTGCGGTGGGAATCACCGGTTGTGCCTTGAGCCGAGAACTACAGCACGAAGACTCCATCGTCGTCGATCGCCTTTCCGATGTAAGTTTCGTTATGAAAGAGTTCAAAGGTCTTCTCCTTGCGGTTGCTGCGAATGTCGATTCCGCACCGCATGAGTTGAGCCGATGAGAGCAGGTTGTATTGAAGGTCAGGCGCGACGAGGACGTCTCCAATATGAATGGTGAACCTCGTATCATTTGCCTCGAGATAGATTTCGCCAATATCATATGCCTTCATCTTTCCGTTGTTGGCGGCTGTGATTTCGCAGGGTCGACGCATGCGCCGGGAGTTGCTGATGAACTTCAGCGATCCCACCATGTGTTGTCCGCAGCAGCTGTCGAGGTACCACATGTCTAGATCCTCGAAGTACTGGCGACCGAGGGAGGCGACACAGTGGAGGTTGCGGCAGAAGGCTTTGACTGAGCCGAGGTTTGCTGGTTGGAGGCGTTGCGCTGTTCATCAGCAGCCTGACGCTTGTAGCACTGGTCGATGGAATGGCCGGACTTCTTGCAGTATTTGCAGAAAGCTCCTTTCTTTCCGCGCTGCTCCCCTTGAGATCCTCCTGTGTAGAAGGCTAACTTCTCCCGCTTGACATTTTTCTCGTTGTACAGGTCGATCTCCTTCTGCTCCGAAAGAAGCGTGGCGCACAGAGCCGACTCCGATATGCTAGCTCGGGCGCGAAGGAGTGACTGGCACTGACGCCAGTCGGGGCCAAGGCCAGAGATGACCATCGAAATGAACATGTCGTCGGGGACAGAGCCACCGCACTTCTTAACTTGATCGCGCAGATTGCGGCACCGGTTGACATACGGTCCCGCTTTCTCCCCTTGTTTCATTTTAACCGAAGTTAGCTGGCTGAGCAGGCGACTCATTGTAACTGGATCTGTTGCCATGTATGAGTTGCGCAGGTGTTCCCAGGATGCGTACGCAGGAGCCCACTCCGTCTTGTAGGGACGAATGCCGAGCTGCTCTTCAGGTGAGAGATTGCGAAGGAGAGCGGTGTACGCGAGAAGTGAGAGATTCATGGTAGTATTGATGCTTCTCCTGGATGGTGCCTTCCGAGGGAAAAGGTAGGCTTCTGTCGTAGTACATTCAGATCTGAGCGGTTGTCGTAAGAAGCTAGAATTCAAAGCTCCACGTGTAGAAATCCTTTGCGTCGAAAAGGATTTATGTCTTCAATTTTGAAGTCAATACAAATTTGGTTTGCATTGAAGCGATGTCTGACGAAGATCGCTGTGGGTTGTCTTGTGCAGGAGCTGACCCTTGACGATTGTCAAAGGTGAAGGATCTCTCGGAGTTGACGCGGCGGTCTTCTCCAGGGAGAGGGAGTCCAGCAACGGCACGTGCATAGCTTGAGCCGTCAATGCTCATCACTTGATGGCTTTCAAGAGCGTTGATGCGTGCGACTAGCTGCTCAACGACAGCGGCGCTGACGGAGGTCACCGCTGATGGCGCGTTAGTCGTTGCTGGTGGTGGGCCCGGTGAGTCTGCAGTAGCTTTCCCTTCAGGAGCCATAGTGTTGCAGACTTTAAGATGTAATGAATGATTTTATAAAAGGATTGTTCTAGGAAGAACGAGGGCTTGACAGATCCTATAATCCACTCTAGCTCTCATACCATGCTGATACAACCAAAGGATCCAGTGAATATGATAGAATATGTTAAGTATGAGAGGAGACAATAGAGTCTCTGTAATGACCTTGTTGAATAATAATGAAAGAGAACAAGATGATTGAAAGATAGGAGTACAAGGAATTAAATAAAAAACTATCTAGCCATGTACCCTGAGGGGTACATTCCCTTAACTAAGGCAGCAGCTAAAATAGTGACCCTCCCCCTTCTAGTTGGGTCCACTTGAAAACTGAAGTTTTTTTGGAACAGTTTCGGAACCAATGAAGTGCTGTGCATGTTTATTTTTTCACTCCTGACGAGTCTCGCTGTGAACGGGGAACACTTGGAAGAGTGCACAATTCTGATTGGCAGCGAAACTCACACACAATGCACACATACTTCTCTGCAAATTTGGCGCAAGGTTTCAATGCCTGTATTCACAAAACCGAACATCAATCAACAACACAGAATCCAGAGCACACACATATGCCAAGGTGGGCCGACGACCTGGCAGAGCTGCGAGAAACGACGAGACCTTGGACTTGAGGCTGAGAGAGGTTAAAAATAGGGACAGTGTAGGACGAGGGGGATAGAATGATATCGATGGGGAGAGAGAGAGGAACAACGGCCAGCGAGGGGAGAGCGGAGGAGCGAAGGGAAGAAAGAGAAGAGAGGAGGCGAACGACGGGATGGGAGGGGAGAGGAGGCGAACGACGGGATGGGAGGGGAGAGGAGGCGAACGACGGGATGGGAGGGGAGAGGAGGCGAACGACGGGATGGGAGGGGAGGGGAGGACCGTGAGCGCGATGGCGAGGGAGGGGAGGAACGTAGCGCGATGGCGAGGGGAGGGGAGGAACGTGAGCGCGATGGCGAGGGGAGGGGAGGAACGTGAGCGCGATGGCGAGGGGAGGGGGGAACGTGAGCGCGATTGCGAGGGGAGGGAGGAACGTGAGCGCGATGGCGAGTGGAGGGGAGGAACGTGAGCGCGATGGCGAGGGGAGGGAGGAACGACCGGATGGGAGGGGAGATTGCATAGCATACGACGAGAGGGAGAGCGCTAAGGCGACGGGAGCTAAAGACGACGCGGTGAGCGATGGGCCGACGAATGCATGCGCGAGGGGAGAAAGAGATGGTGACGGGGGGAGAGGAGAGAGACCCGCGAAGGTGGGAGGGGAGCGGAAAGCGGACGAACGACTGGAGGCAAGGGGAGATGACGAAGGCGCGATACAGGAAACTAACACCTGCGGAAGGGTAACGATAGGCTACGGAAGGGAATAAAATTACGATACAACGCTATGTAACAGTCTTACGCATTCCCGTTGGATCGTTAGTTCCTTAGCTTGGCCACAAACATCTATTGTTGTCAGCTATAATATGCTAGGAATGAAACTAGTGATTACGGGACGGAGAGCAACTAGCATGAAACCCAGTTCCAGCTTGAAACCAACTTTGGCCTGGCGATCGAAACCATCGCTTGGCAAGAGTCGTGCAGGTGTAGCACGAAACATGCGACAGAGGAGATCCGCAGGGAAAAAAAAATTGGCGGGAACATGAAGAATCAAAGATTGGCGACAGCCAATCACATTTGCTCATGGTGCTTTTCGTTTTGTTTGGAACAGTGCTCGAACGGCCCGTTTTCGGCAGCCACTTTCAAGATGGGACAGGGTTCACTATTTTATATTTCGGTTTTAACTTTATTGCATAGCTACAGTAACCGCTACTATTGCTATCCTCAACAGTTACCGTGTTGCAGTCAGTTAACTGTCGCGCGGTTACTGGATCGTCAAGGGTCACGACCGTTGACTTTCTCAGACGGTTGACCTTCGGGTGACCCTCGACATTCCGCGTGCTCTATATGAGCTATTGCGGTACTGGTGCAATGGAACAGCTTCGGGAATGCTTATATAACCTTTCGGTTATTCCAACACTCGGCATCAGGCCCAAACCTTTCGCAAGCACGTTACTGTTGTCGAAACACTTTCTCTTTTTTAGGAACTCGCTCATGCCTTTGCTCATTGTATTGTTCACTTAGTGAAATTTTAGTTAGCTCTTTCAACTACATGCGTAAGAGTTGAATGGACCACGATTTGGTGCTACCGAACAGGGCCTTTATCGCGATCTACCGGTAATATTCGCTCAGCCGCGTTTACACAACCTCCAACAGCCATACGCTACCCACCAACATCACCAGAAGTCACAAATATGGCGGCATTATTGCCTGTGTCGGCCATAGCTGCGTCCCCGTTCCGCCACGCATGCAGCCCACGTAACCGCTTGCCTGCCTCACTCACCCGCACGGCCCCACTCGCGCGCTCTGCGCGTTGCCTCGCAGCGAATCAGGGACCGCCCGAGGACGATCGGGGGAGCGGCGCGGGGTGGCGCGTGCGGCCCAAGGTGGCGGCGCAGGCCGCCATCGCGGTGGCGACGGCGGGATTCGTGGACGCGGGGTGAGCGGGAAGCGAGGTGGGCGCGTGCTGGGATGCGGCGGGTGTCCCGTTGCGCTTCTAAGCAACGCTCTGCTACTGCGTGGTCGTGCGGAGAACCGGCGGGCGAGTCTATGAAGCGCCGCAGGACTCGTTTCGTTCGTCAATGCCATGCGAAGCGACTGTGACGTTGCTGGGATGCGATGGGCGCGCGGGGGGGAAGGGTGTGGCATGGCGGGCGGCGAGTGAGCTCCGCGCGCCCGCCCCCGCGGAAGATGATGAGCGCCGCTTGCCCGCGGGGGAAGATGATGAGCGCCGCTTTCCCGCGGGGGAAGATGATGAGCGAAGCAGCTGCGCGCCGGTGCCCCACCCTACATGCACACGTAGGAACTTAGAAGACCTCAGAGGACCCTGGAGGGCCGCAGAGGGACTCAAGAGGAACTCAGGAGGAACTCAGAGGAACTCTGAGGAGCTTTAAACACGTCAGCAGCTCTTGCGCCCTCCCTCTGCTGCTGTACTATGCACTCCCCTGAACCCTCTTCCTCGTCTGTCCTCTCCCTGCCCGCCTTCCCCCGGTACAGTGGCGTGGCGACCTTTCACACATCAGAATAATGAATGAGCCCTCTCTCCATAATTGAGTCACCTCTGAGCCCACCCTCCTCCCCACGCACTCCGCCGCTCTTCACAGTACAGCAGGGCCTGGCTCGGCGAGTCGTCGCATAGGAGTGATAACAGCAGGCGCTGAGAATGCACTGCACTGCACCTAGCCGCCTTGGCTGGCGTGTCGTGCCCCCTGCTGGCCTCGCCATCCAGTGGCTGTTGAGGCAACTCAAACCCCACCCTCCGCCCCACTTACTTCCCTTTCGCACCCTCCTCCCTCCCTCCCTCCCTCCCCATGTGCCTCTCCGTCTCTCTCCCCACAGGTACAGTGGAGATTGGTCGCGCATAGGAGCGATATCAACAGATACAGAGCATGTACTGCAGTTAGCCGCGTTGGGGGTCGTGCCTCTAGCTGCCCTCGCCATCTTCCTGCTGTGGGACCGCCACGCAGAGTGAATGTCTCTCTCTTGAGTCTGGCTCCTCAGAATCTGGCCGTTTCCAGTTGCGCTGGGCATGTGATTGTCCTTTGAGACTGCCTGCCAGTGGTAGGCTGAGCATCCAGAAGAGTGGAGGGCTAAGCAGTGGTTACTTTGCACTGCACAGCACTGCACTGCACCACTTTCAAGCACTTGCTGACCCCTGCTTAGCAGCAGCTGGGTCAACTGGTGGTGGTTGTAAATTCGGAGGGAATGGTAGAGTCACGTTGATACTGGGCAATCTACCTAGAATGTACATGCATCATGGCACCTACTATATATTACAAGATTGCACAGAGCTAGCAATCTAAGAGAGACACACTCAAGTAGCTCTAGGAGACTCAAGTTACTTCCACATAAATATCACCCTGTGCTTGCTTCTGTGGCGCCATCCACCACCACACGCGCTCCTGTGCTGCCTGCCTTGGGAATCCACCACGGCAGCACCACTCTCAGCAGCGGCAGCAGCAGTGACGCGAGCAGCAAGTGCAGCTGCAGCAACAACAGCAGCGAGTGCAGCAGCAGCACAAGCGAGCCTGGCAGTGCGTTGGGGCTCGCGTCACCACTGTACATCCTCACGTGCTTCTCACAACTCGTAACCCTGCTGTTGCTGACTGAAAAGCTGACAGAAGTCGTCTCCTTGCTGTCGTTGCTGCCAGCACTTGTTTGGTCGCAGTCACTCTTCTGATCCTCCTCCGTGTCCTCCTCCTCTGCAGCAGGCGCGGAGCTCAGCGTCACTTGCAGCTGGGTCGATTCACAAGTCGAGATCTCCTCGGGAATGTCAAACATATATGCTACATATTGTCTAGGCTGTAGTGGGGTATGTTAGAATCTAGCAGCAGGAATGAGTGAACTAACAGGATGCAGGAGTACAAGTAGTAAACCCTAACTGGGTTGTACCCCATATGGGCTACCCCACTACAGCCTAGATAATATGCAGCACATATAGTTTGACACACCCCCATAGGCAAAGTGGGGGAGAACAAGGGGTCACATGACCAGTCAAGAGAAGCAAAACAAGCTCAGGGTGGATCACAACGTCACCACGCATTCTGAGCACAAGCAAAGGGCCACAGGGCCAGTTCACATGCAGAGATATATATGCAGCAATAACAGTACAGTGATGGCTACCTAGCAAGAGCCAGCATGCATATATATATATATATATATATATATATATATATATATATGTACAGATCACAGTACAAGCAGAGACTACAACAAGTGTGGAAACGTAGGCACAAGGCCTAACAGAGTACAAAAGCGCTGATGATCACCAGACGGAAGTGCCTTGGTGAATATGTCAGCAGTGTTGGCCCGAGTGGCCACGTGGCGAAGACGAAGCTGGCCTCGCTGCTGCAACTCTCGAGCCAGGAAGTACCGCAGAGCAATGTGCTTCGTTCTGTGCTCCAGTCTGTGCTCCAGTCTGTGCTCCTCACACAAGGCAATGGCGGCCTTGTTGTCAACGTACAGCACTGGAGGAGAACGAGGCTGCTCTCCCAAGTCAGTCAGCAGGTAGGTGAGCTAGCGTAACTCCTGTGCAGCCATGGCGGTGGCGTAGATCTCAGCCTCACAACTGGAGCCGAGAACTGAAGACGAGCGTGTAGAACGCCACGAAACTGAACCAGAGCCAAGGCTGAAGGTGTAACCCTGTGACGACCGCTGAGTAGCCAGGTCGTCAACCCAAGAAGCGTCTGAGTGCCCAGTGAGGACAACTGGGCTCGTCCCTCCAAGCACTAGCCCCATGCCTGATGTGCTGCACAAGTAACGCAGTACCCTCTTAGCAGCAGCCATGTGCTCAGGTCGGTGCCGACCAGGAGCCACGTAGCGAGCCAGGAGACCAAGAGGGTACGCGAGGTCAGGTCGAGTGCAAGTCATCAGGTACATGAGGCAGCCGACTAGCTCTGGGTAAGGACCACTCGGCTCTACGGACTCGTCCGAAGGTGGAGCTGAGAGCGTGTGACCTGTAGCCAGAGGAGTGGCCTGTGCTGAAGACCAGGTGAAGCCGAAGCGCTGAAGGACCTGCTGCACCATGTGTGACTGAGTCAAGGTGATGGTGCGACGTGCTCTGTCTCGGGTGATCTGCAAGCCAAGGTAGCTGCGCAGCTCACCCAAGTCTGTGCACGTGTGTCTCTTCTGCAGCTCCGACTTCACGTGGGCGAGAGCCTCAGTGTCAGCAGTGGCAAAAACCAAGTCGTCGACGTACACAAGGATGTAGAACGGCGGCAAGGAAGTGTCGGTGCGCAGAAACAGCGACGGGTCAGCAGTAGAAGGCGCAAACCCAAGAGCCGCAAGCGTAGTCCTCAGTGTGTCGTGCCACTCACGTGGCGCCTGGCGGAGACCGTAGACCGGCCGCCGGAGGCTCCACTGGGTACCAGGAGGGAACGACCCAGTGAAGCCCGGGGGGCGGCGCAGCCAGATCTCCTCGTGCAGGCTGCCCTGCAGGAAAGCTGTGCTGAAGTCAAGAGAGTGAAGCTCGTAGTCACGGTGAGCAGCAACGTGCAGCAGCACCCGAAGAGTGGTCATCTTCGGGGT